TTCTTCTCCGCGTCTTGCCTGTGTCTGTGGAAGGATTTCTTGACGTTTCTTGATCTGGAGTACAAAGTCTGGTTGGTAGTCCTCGCCCCTCCACCGCATGAGCGCATGATAGCGCATGCAGCTCTTGAAGAAAATGCTGCCACGGACACCCTTGTGACTGATGTATAGACGGCCACAGCATTAGCCGCAAGAGCGTGTTACGCGAAACATGCACGGCTCTTGGAGGAGCTCGAGCAACAAGCGGAAGCAACGACGTCGACCCAGGAAAGGGGGTGCATGCAAAGATCATTAAAGACCATTTCTTGTCGAATATTCTGAGCGGCAGTGTCGTGTCTTGTGCCCACAGCACTTCCAATCTATCCACAGCTAGTAATCGCTTCCTGCTCTAGCATCAGATATTATTGTCGGGGGGTATCTTGCCGGGAATGCACCCAAGAGGACCCAAAACAACTTGCTGAACCTGCATCGAAGCAAGCTCGCTCTCGCTCTCGCTGTCGCTTGCGCTCGCGCTTTTGCTCTCGCTCTCTCTCTCTCTCTTTCTCTCTTTCTCTCTCTCTCTCTCTTTCTCTCTCTCTCTCTCTGTGCACAGTTTAGGAATTATCCCAGCTGCAGAACGCCTGCGATGGTAAGAGCGAGTGTGCAACCGCATGAACGTCGGATGGCAGGGTCTGCAGCCTGCAACGGAAGGTTTTAGAATCAAGCACTGGGCAATGGGAACTAGCAATACCTTCTAATTTTACATAGCGTGCCACAAAAACTTCCTAAGTATTAGGGGAGAGCGGGGCGTGATGTGATTTTTAATTGGGGAAGCACCGTTTTGGCTGAGTGGCTGACTGCGTCTCATGCCCGTCCCAGACGACTGCAGGAGGACATGGCCGTAGACGCAGACGCATCAACCTCGGCCTCAACGGAGGCAGACGAGTGATGCTTCTCTCCGTCTTGCCTGTGTCTCAATGGAAGGGTTCTTGATGTGAAGTACAAAGCCAGTTGCCAATCTACCCCCATCTACTCCCTTATGTGCATGCAGCTCTTGAAAATAATGCTGCCACTGACACTCTTGCGACTGATGATGAACAGTCTGCCACTGCGTTTTGCGCAAAGAGCGTGTCACGCGACATATTTGCTGCTCTTCGAGGAGCTGGAGCAACAAGAGCAACAAGCAGCGGAAGCAACCACGTCGATCCAGGACAGGCGGTGCATGCAAAGACCAGTTCTTGTCCAACATTCTGGGCGGCAGTGTCGTGTGTCT